ACTTCTGGAAGATCAAAGATGATTTCTCATCCCTGACATAATCACCTATCGTAAATCTACCAACTAATTACAGTTATATATTTACTTGACTAACGTCCATCCCTACGTGCCGGGACGCACGGTGTGGCGGGACACTTTCTCTTTCAGACCCTCAGACTATCTACAACATGCTTGCATATAGACAAGCGTAATACGCATTTACTTACTATAGCTCTTACTGTCCTAGTATACTAGCCTCTAACTCAAAAAAGCGCGTTGTTGACCGTGCTGTCGCTAGTTTCCTTAACGCTAACTTTTAACTCTCCTCTAATACCCCATACGTATTCACGAGAGTACTTATTTACGAGAAGCTTGATAGGCGGGGCTTGGGGTCACGTGGTGTACCATCAGGCCAAGGCCTGCCATCAGTGATGGCACACCTGTGATGGCAGGAAATCCTCTAATGGCAGGACCAAAGGCAATGGGTATAAAAATGGGTTGGATTTCATTATTACACTCGTGGTGGTCAACTCCAATAGTTCTTCTCTTACACAGATTGATACTAGTTATTCTATCTACAATAGAATTGGTTTGTCTTACCAACAGTTAACTTGCATAACTCCTTTCCACCTTATCGCTAGACAACTACCGCACGGTTTACTTCAGCAAACTGTCTCGCCCTAACCCGGACCGAGGCCAGGTAAGTATTCCTGTACTAACGTAGAACCTCGTGTAACATGACGTATGCCCACAGCAGATGCTATTGCAATATTGCAAGGTGACCTTAGCTCCTATCGCCGTATGTGCTCCCTAAAAATGCCAATACCATGACCATACAATGATACAGCAGCGTTACTCTTATACCGGCCCCCCTCTAGCTAGCAATTAAGTTTTCTTTCTACGCAGTTAGTGTTACTCCGCTGTTACATGCAGTGCCAAAGGTTTAACTAGAAGAGAAAGCGCCTCGTTACACCACGCGCCCTAGTACGTAGGGACAGACGTTCGTTACCTATCATGTTGCTTAATGCAATTTTAGAAGGACTTCAACTGATGCAGACCGAGTTTTAATTAAGGCGCATCTAACTATTAGCTATCTCACTAACAATCTTCGTAAAGACCTTCGCATTCGCCAGCACACGCATTACGTCCAGGGCCAGGGGAGAATTGTGCATTGCAAATACTGTAGCACCCTCGACAACCAGTAGCAGCCTGTGGATCTAGAAACAAATTTAGAAGAATGTTATAACTATATTTAGAGTTGAAAGTAGATAATAATACCTCTAATAGATAGCGTATTAGAGCCTACAGGACCTGCTAATGCACTACCTATAGATAGCATCAAGATTCCAAAGAGAAAACGCATCGTTGCTTAGTAAACCTATAATGTTTGTTAGCTTAATAGTCTAGAAATAGTAGAGATACGTAGTTAGCTTACTTTTGATAGGTTAATTGTTTATCAGTATTAAGGAAGATGTGGTAATAAGAGGCGTCGCTTGGTTCAGTGAAGGAGCAGGCTACATTTATAACGTGCATCCCTCCGGCACTCCGGGATGTCCGTTGCGGAGGGATGCATGCTATTCGGCCTTTAATACGATGTTTAGAGGATGCATGTCAGATAACGCTTATGCTAGTAATATTAGATGTCGCCGAAAATTTTACAAGTAGCATAGGGGATGATGGTGAGATTTGTCCCTTGCCGAAGTACCGAAATTTTGTCATAGTTATGTACATAGATAGGGTAGATGTTTGTGCAAGTGCTGAGCGCACTAGCTGAGGCAGCTAGCTCCGTGATAAATCTTGACTTCTTTGCTTTATAACGCAAGTTCGCTATAAATATAAGTGTAACTAATCTATATATCTAAAATAAACAATATATTTCATATGCTAGCTACATAGTAGAAAAATGTCACCATAACTGGCTGAACGCCCTTTGGGTAGTGTAAGGGGCTGCTCTTGGGGGCTATGGCCAGAATATGCGTAATGCTGACGCATCCAATATCCGTCGCGGAGGAATAGACGTTGACGGCGGAGTAACACAGAATAGAAAGAAAACTCTAATTAACTATCAACTGGAGAAGGACCGATATAAAAGTAGCGCTGCTGTGTTACTATATAGCGACGGTATCAGCATTTTTAGGCAGTGAAAATAGCGAGGGCAGTGTTACACGGGGTTAGGGTCTATACTGCTCTGGTCGGGTCCGCCACTATGGCCGATGAGCCTTACGCTAGTGTTCCGTGAGGTA